TAGATGAGGCGACTCAAACGTGATGCAAATTCCGTAATGGTGCAAACCCAGTTCCTTGGCTGAATGTTATGGACTTCTGTAAGCAGCGATCGTCACTACTAGCAATACCATGCGCTGAAAGCATTTTCTATACCTACTCATGCTTTCATATTTTTTGTAAATAAACTTTAAAAAAGCCAAGAGCATTCTTGATACCAACCACGACTTGCCAATCAAGAAAAAGTCAAAAGAAAGTTAAGAAGGGTCGGTTTCTGTTGCTGCTAATTGTCTCAAAATTTCAAGAACTTTAGAATTCATGATAGTTAAGAATTTGAAAAAAAATCATGTTTCAGTTTGCCGTTTCGTCGAATATTTTCCATGATCTCAAGCTGTCAAAAAACTTTCTGTAAGAGAAAGCGCGTCTATGGGCATCATGGGCGGGAAAGCTAGCGCTAACAGCAAAAAATTCGATTTACGCTTATGAATATTAGCAATTAGCACTTAATTTGAAGATTAAAAAGCGGAGACCGGCACAGGTGGCATGGAAGCAAATGGGTTTCGTTTTTGGGATTAAAAGCAAAGGTGATATCGCTTTGCGGCCGGAGAAGCATAACTTGGGTTACGTTTTTAATCGACTTTTCGTTTTTTAGGGTTGTCTACTTTCAGGGTTTAGGGGCAAAAGAGACTTCGTAAGATTTTGCGAAAGACGGTCTTCATTTTTTTGCATTTTCGAAAAACCACCTCGTGCCGACCTTGGTAAAAAGCTAAATTTTTGAGAGATTACAAAAATGTTTAAATAGTAAACAACTTAGTTTTACGGGTAATTTACAAAACAATAAATGATTTTTTTGAAACTTTAAGTAACTTTGTTGAAAATTTCTTGCTACGGGTATTATGAAGCTATAAAGAACCGGCCAGACTCAAAAGGAGGACTGGTTGCGCTCACCTTCTTATAATCAGGATGGGTTTTTAGAAAGTCGAAGAGCTTTTAAAAATTTTCAATCAACACGCGAGAGCGAGCCATGACTTTTTATTCACTAAGCTTCTTCGAAAGCGAAAAACAGAAGCCCTCTGCTGACGAAAGTCGTAAATGTTGGGTATGCCAGCTAGTCCACTCACACATGTCCTATTAAACATATCTTTTTCCTCAAAAAAGTCGAGATGAGCTAATGTGATAGTCGCAATGCTATCGTTGCGCGGCATTAGCTTGGAGACCTCAAAAACATGTAAGGACTTTAAGACCTCATGTGAAGTGACGTATAATTACGTTTCATAGTTTTGATACAGATAAATGGATAGATGATACTAAGCAGCTATTTATAGGCTCTTGCATGTCGAAGGCGCAATACTTTGAGCGCGAACGCGGCTTTCCTAGTCGCAGAGCGCATGAGGTACAGGATTTACAACGGCGAAGATACGCGCGCGTCGCCTTCGCGCCCTCTCAACTAATAATGCATCTGCGCCTTCGTCATGCAATAGCCTTTACTTATTCATTTGTAACGAGTTCAAGCCCCGTTAAACGAAATCTACGCAGATTTGAACCTATGTTTTGGATTTAGGACAAACATGAGTTGTCTCAGTCGTGGACCATGTTCAACTTGCTAAAGGACTACCGTAGGTCACCTGAGTCGAGGAGAACGGTCCGGTCTTTGATCGAGGTGAATTACTTCATTTCAGTTAAAGTGCAACCGTTTTACTTACACTGCGGATATACTGAGACTGGCTGAAACAAGTTTTTGCAGATTAAGCTGCAAAATGCGTTTGCCTCCTTCCACAGGCATGGAAACATTGGGCCAAAAGCACAAATAATGACTTCAGACAACCAAATAATCGACGCCACTTATATTTCTGCCTTTCCCATTTTGAGATACCTACATGGTTTCTCTCAGAAAATCCGAAAAATCTTTGAAACAGCGCGGTTTCTTTTTTTTAGAGACAGGATGTATGCCGCAAAATTTCAGCACCTCAGCTTAATTAAAACCTGACAATGAGGTGAAAAGTGACAAAACCTTCTAAAGAACTTGCCAAAAATCAAATTATGTGTGATGCCATAAACACGCCCACTGGTATTTCTTCTTTTCTACAATTTACATAGCACGCATTCAGAAATTATTTTGAAGGTTCTGCTCATGAACAGCGTTCTCGATTGTTCTCTTCCCAAATTTCAGGCTTCAGATGACAGGGAAAGCAATGTCTTAATGGGGGTTAAAGAAGAACAACGGCGGTATTTACCCGACTCCCTGTACCAACTGCCCGGCACAAGATTCTCACAAAAACCACAGAAGTAATGGTATTTTTACGAAGGACTATTGTACTCGTAATCTGCGAACTCACTTATTCATCCCCTTTTCCCTCTCTCCCTCAATCTCCTGTGCCAGTTCTCAACCATATGGTAGTATAGAAGAGTATGCAAAATCAAAAAAAAAGTTGTTGATCGATAAAGAATGATAGCCTACGATACCCGTTCCCAAGCGCATGCTGCAAAGTTTGTTCCGGAATGGTACAAAAACGAATTTTTCTAATTGGGAAGTGTAAGTGCAGACACGCGCAAATTCATCCAGACGAACACACATACCAGACATTGTGTTTTATAAAGAGATTTGCGCGGTCGCATTCGTCATATTGGTGCCTTTGAAGAATGACGTTTGTTCACAGAAACTACGAAGATTGTGAGGGCGTAAATGAGTCCATGGCGAGACCGTCGGGCACTCGCAATAAGCGATGTGGTTAAGCGGACCCCATCCAGATTTGCAAGAACGATTTGCAATAAGTAATGAACGGCGAAAAAGGGCCTTTGCATGTGTTCTTACAGGCACCGTCTACCCAAAATGGGGGTTGGCGAGATTATGATGGCATACTAGTGTGGGCCCCCACATTAGGCAAACCCCCAAGTTGCGCTGCAAAAGATTGCTTCTGGAGCGAGATTTCCGCTCCGGAAGTAGCAAAGTGGGCGAAGCGACCATGGTCACCCCTCCCACTTGCATGCTTTACCTCGCCGGCGCATGTTGCAGAGGGTTTTCAAAACTGGTATTTGGAAATTCTCACGGATTTTCGACTCCATATTCGTAATCAGAGCCTTCAAAAGGCCTGAAAAAGACAGAAATATGGAAGTCGAGAATTTGGGTGGACGGTGCCTTTGAACCCTGCCGTCAGATAGCATGCAATAATGGTTATTCATTGCAGCATTCATAATTGTCAATGCAATGACTGACAAATCATAGACATGTTCTTCGGACAAAATCAATTCCATCTTCAGCAGAGTATTTCTTGAGCGCAGCTACAGAAGAAGTAATTAGTAAACAACGGACGACAGCATCAAAAAAGCGCTTGTCAGAAATAGACTTTACTATCGCACTGTGTAACAGAAAATTGCCTAATATCCAAGGAAAAATAGGAAACTGCGCGAATGTGGGAGTTGTATATCGAGTAAATGTCTCTGCAGCGCGCGGTACGTTGGTGCAACAGGCCGAGCTGAATATTCGCATAGAAAAGTATTTGGGGAGAGAACAAGTGTGGTGGCATGGCAGGCACATGAACGGGGTTCATGATGGAATTGATTTTGAATTCAAGTTTACTGTAATATTCAAAAAAGACAGCTGGAAAGGCGTTTGCTTTTTGGATTCTGGCCAAAAATCTGGAAATGAACACCAACAGCGAGTGTTAGATAACTGATGATTTTTGGCTTTCGTATCCTTATGCAAGCTGTAGAATGCTATAATATTTACTGCATTCTCTAGTGTAGCTCAGTCCTGAGCCACGTTCACTAAATTTTAGTAAACGTCACACATAGAGTAGTTTGAGAATAAGTTTATCTCCGTATGCTGATTTTTGCAAAGTAAGCTCTCAGCTACGTCAAAACTGGAAAAATTAGAGAATGCATTTGTCGGACTAGGCCAGTGGTACTCTACCCTACCTGATGGCATCATGAATGCCGAAAATTTGGCAGACTTCATGGAAAGTTCCCAACTCCGGCTTTACCTCGCAGGTTGGTTATGGATTTTGATACTTTCATTTTATCAGTGAACTTTTTGTAAAGTAAACTCATAACGACGCCGCAACTAGAAAAATTAGAGAAAGCATTTGTTGGCCTGGTGTTGCAGGTTTTACATTGAATGTTCTAGCCCTTTGAAGACGATTAAATGATCGCCAGGCCGGTTGAAAAAACTTACCACCATATCAAAACTATTCGGCACGGCGTAGTTCAGCATTACCAATCATTTCGAATTTTCATTGAAATGGACTTTTATTGGAAAGCGTATTTTAAAATTAAATAGCTTTCTTAAAGTATTCGCAAAACTTTTAGAAGGCACTACGGTATATTGTATGGTGCTTCAATAGTAATAGGGGAACTTACCACCAGTATGAAACATTTTATTCCTAGGTTAAGATTTTCGACAATTTACAGGAAATTCCTCAGAATGCGATATTGAAGTAAACTGATTCTATGAAGCTGAAGATTTGTGTGATGATCTGACAAAGAAGCGGAGATTAATTCACAAAAACATTAATTGTCCATAAACTATTCATATCTTGTTTCCCTACGAAACGGGGATAAATGCTGTCGAAAACTCAGCATCTATTATGCAAACTTACTTCCTAATATGCATAAAGGCGAAAATGCATCATTTTATTGTATTATTTATTCCTGTGGGATTATTTCCAAATCTACGCTATACCACATAATCATCATAATGTCTCTGCCTTAAAAATTTCAGAATATTATGTTGCATGATTTATTATGCGCATAGAGAGCGTGGGGAAAAGCATGTGTCTCAATAAAAGGCCTTTTTTGTATGACTATTTTGTCAAACACCTTTTGCTTCAGCGATTTGTTATTTAGCAACTTTTTCGAAAAAATTATGCGATTTCGAAACTTTTTCAGGCAGGATTCTCGAAACAAAATTTCTCTCTTCTAAAATTTGATATCGCTATGTGGGATTGCCAATTTCGTTGATATACATGCTCTAATTTAGCCACACATGTCTTTTGAACTTGTTTAGGTAAAACGAACAAAGTCGACAATGTTTGTTTTTGTGGTAAGAAATTTCTCTCAATTATTTCACTCATACAAAAAAGCAAAGTTTCAGACGGATAGAAGTGTAGCATTGTTTTCGCACCAAATTTAATCTTGTTTTGCAGGCCTACTTCATAGCTATAAGCGGCTTGACTGCTATGCAGTTTGATTATGGTAAGTTCATAGAAGAATGCTTTGAAAGCGCTTGTCTGTAACCGGTGATGAACGGCCCAAAAACAATGTGGAGGAAAGGCTGGAAAAAGAGTAAACATTTCACCATTCAAAGGCTGGTCACACGAATATGATTTTTTTTGCAGTAACAGTGATACAAGTTTCGTTGAAATAGAAGAAAAGCAAAAGGGCAGTACAAAAAGCGAAGTTTGGTGTGATGATTGGAATTGTAATGCCGGTCAACATCGCTTATCGATCAGCACTTCAAATTGGATGAAAAAATTTGACAATTTTCACCATTCTGTTTTTAGCCTAATGAAAAAATCTCAACCGCCATGCTTACTGATACGGACTGCATGCAAAACAAGACGCTTGTTTATATCAGTGGCTACTTCTATACTTGTTCTGACTTTTTTCGTCAAAGTTTAATTTGAGTGATATAATCGTATAAGAAGCGACATTTGCCGGACAGAGGCATTTATAGAGTGCGGCGAAAGTACTGTCCCTCAGTATGGCTCCTAAAAATCCCGCAGATGAAAGAAATTGGTAGTTTTTCATGCCTACATGCAGGCAAAATATTGGAAATTAGGCTAAGATAAGTCTCATTTAAAGGCCTCATTCTGTCCATTTAAACGAGTGATAACAGCGGGCTATCATCGATCTGCGCCGCAGCATTTGAGCGCGATTTCGGACCGTAATTACCCCACCAAGAAATTTATCAATCTCAAATTAAACTGATGTTTAGAGTATAATTGCTTCTCCAAAATTCTTTGCTAGTATAGATTGATCTGAGATTGTGGCTAAGCAAGGTAATTATATCCCAGGCAGATTGCGAAAATTCTCGAAAAGAGGATGGTAAAAACTGCTCTGCTTGACGAATTGGACCCAAACTGTGATTCAAGATTTCAGATTTTAACAAATGTAATAGGCCTAATGTAAACAACAGCGAGCATTTTTTACATAACTATCATAACTTTGAATTAATGAACGATTCTACCTAGTCTCTGTGCCACGTTTTCTTATCTAGCTTTCTTGTTCACAATCCTCCTAGTGCAACTGCGGACTGGCTACTTGCAGGATATTTTGAGGTCACTACCACATTCCTTGAGCAGTACAGATTTCTCAAATTTACAAATTTATGATACAAAAGACTTTTTGACAGTCTTTTTACATTTGTAGAAGAGAGCTACAAGGTTTGATATGGGATGCGTTGCGAAGAAAGATCCGCCGCGGGTGCAGAAAGCGCAGAAAATTGCGACCAGTATCTTGTAAAATGCTAGAATGTATTTACATCTTAAGTTTTACATCGAGTTCAGAAAAAAGAATTTGGGAATCACGTCGATTTTTTTACCTCCATATTGAGGAACAGCACTTTTTCCGCACCCCGTATGATACACAAGACAATATGTGATTAATAAAAGCTAGTAAGATTCATGATAATAAACTACTATTACTATTACAAGAGTACTGGCAATTTTCGGAAGTTCGACGATATGTTCTCAACAATTGTGGTCTTGACTCACTTTTATAGAGCGATGTTTTTTTTTAAGTGCAAATTTGGTAAACGGAGAAATTTACAGAGACTCTTGGGCCATTAAGTCCACACCAATCACCAATCATGTATGTCACTTTTACAACACATCACTCTTATTTGTTAGATTACGATCGTCAAAAGTTTTTATTTGGCAGAATGAGGAGAATGTGGAAGGCTGGATAACGAAAAGGAATGTGGCAGCTCATAAATCAAATGTGTCGCGTTTAATTGCAGTGTTAAAAAACGAGCTATTTCAGCGTCTGCAATACCGCTAACAGCATCGTGGAATGAGTTTAATGCTTCAACTGCCAGCCAGTCTCCAAAAACAATACCGCTGTCAAAGCTCCCAATACGCCCTTGCATACAGGGTATTTGTCCCATACCTTTCGTGTGCTTAGCTGGTTTTTGTTTACGCAGTAAGCCTTGCAAGGTCGACTCCGATTGTGGCCATTCCTTTAAATGCGTAAAAAGCTCGTGTATTCATCTTAAACTTAGAGTTGAGTTACCTCACAATTATGTACAGCTAGAGCCATACCGCCCTTGCGTAAACGATGTTTGTCCCAAACCTTACTCGTGCTTGGGTGGTGAATGTATACGTGGTAAGCCTTGCAAGGTCGACTCCGATTGTTCCTACTCCTTTAAATGCTTGAAAAGTTTGTGCATGTCGTACTCACTTAAAGTTTTGACACCTGAGAATTATGTACAAGAAGTATCCACCTATTAGTTTTCGAGTGCTTAACTCATTGTTTGTCAAGCGATGTCCATCATCGACCAAATGAAGTTCGATATCACTCTGCTGTATGTAGTTTCCCCAAAGTGGGCACAGTGAGATGTTTTGTTTTACATGCAGTTGTCTTCAAACATGTGGTTGACCATTCCAAGGAAGAACGTTGATTGGAGCGTATGCTCAGAAATACTCAACGTAAGTTGCGGTGGGTTCATTCATCTATTCCCATATTCATTTGTAATGCCGACAGCGGAAAAAAAGTTGTTGTTCCTGTAAACAATTATACTAATAATATATTAAAATTATGCCACAATTTACCAAAAGTCGAACCTAGAAATTATAACCAGGTCAAGCGTGGGGTGTGGCGCAGCACCCTTGGACGGTCGCATTGAGGGGCAGGGAGAGGGGGGTTGAGTAGTTTTCAAGGTGATATGATGTTAGCGACATGATGTCCGTCAGCAATTTCGCATAGGCTCATTATGCAGATTACTAGCATTGATGTTTGGCCATCCGTTGTATACGCACAATAAGCATGATAAATGAAACCTAAATGCATAAGAGCATCATGTTCGTAATCAGCATGTCAAATAACCTCTTGGGCCAAGCTTCAACGTTTTGACGTTTCCGGATATTAGGCCCTCAGGTGAGATGGTTATTTTCGAACAAGATAACCTTTCTCAAAGGTAAGTTAACTATTTTTTTGCACTTAATACAAAGAAATACAATTTCTTTGCTCACCTCGGGAATCGCACTCCAAATAACCTTCAAACTGCTTGAATATTTCAGGATAGACGAGACCAATCAGACTCAAATCACTTTTGCGAAAATTATGAGAACCAGGCTATCGAATATACTTGTTCTTGCCGCCTTCCCTCGCGATTCACGTAGTAGCCCAGACTTCGCATGTCAGCGTAATCCAATATTTTCGCAGTGTTTTTCATTTGCATAGGTAAAAAACGGCTATATCATTTCCTGTGAGAAACAATTTTGAATGAAGATCCTATTATGTGGAGAAGAAGGTGCAGCAGTAGCGACCATGTAAAAGAGATAGATTTTTAAATGCTTTGCAGGTAATGTAATGGGGTGCGGCACAACCCCTAATTTGCACCTCCTCAACCTCAGCTTGTGATATCAAGCGTTTCTCAGAAAAGTTACGTTTACGAGGAAAAAATGTTCAAGTCAGTTGCCTAAGAAAAAATGGTTTTTTGCCTTTTTTTCAAAATTTATAACCTTGTATGAAAAGCCCTTTGCTCACTTTAACGAAAGCATTTATTTCAAATCTTTACTTATAAATTGCATCACTAGATTTCCAAAAGCCTACTAATGTTTTCAGTTTTTTTCTGAAAACTAATTTGGAAAAAGTTATAATATTTCAACGCTTTGCGACTACACACATGTCGCGATGGAAAATTTATCGCAATCCGGTTTTCTCCCAAAAGTTAGAGACGCAGTTATATACGCTGATTAAAATGTTTCAACCAGTTGAAAACCTTTCATTTATTAACGTAATTTTTTCATGCGAAAACACGGTTTTGATTGCTGTTGGACTCAAGCCACGCTAGGTTTTGTGGTACTGTGAGAGGGCCGTTACGAATATATTTATGCCTCAATGACGAACATAGATGTTCCATCAATCTGTAATGTATTGTAAATTGAGTTGACAAAAAATTCCATTCAACATCTTTTCAAACTCCCAAAACTCCTTTACATTGCTGTTTACAAACATGGTCACCCAAAATTCCGTGGTAATTTACAATGAATTTAGTGAAAAAAGAAGCAGCTGGCTTTTGTCGCTCTTGACTGTGTAAAATTCTGAATTTGATATGAATACTTTATGTTATTTTTACTTTTTATATTTTGCTAAAATGCCTTATTTTGAGGTAAACTGAGCACGTATTAAGCATTTAGAGTGGTTGATTCCTCCATGCAATGAGTACTAAATATTCGCACAATATGCTCGATTACCTTCTGTACTAATGCTCCTCTAAATACGAGGATAACACAATGAAAAATGAGCGATAATGAAGAAGCCGTAGATGTGAAAAGAAAAATAAGCTCGAAGAAAACTCGCAGCAGAAGGTATAGTCCTATGCCTTTTGATGACGTGGCATTGAACAAAAAACTCTTGCTATATTTCGATTTTGAAAGTAAATGTATTCTTTTACTCAATTGAAAACTGACTATCGAACTGAAATAACTAGAGTGTAGGCAGTAATTAACTCTACTAAAATTAAAAAAAAACCAATCGCATAAATGTGGTTCCACATTTTGCTGTATGGTGTAAGCTGTTGTTTGTTTATGGTGTTATGTTATATGTTATGTATGGTTATGGTGTAAGCTCATTTGAGCGTTAGCTTAGGTGAGGGCTAAAGCTGCTTCTTAGGAGTAGACTGACGGTTGATCTTCTTCCCCATTCTTTGCATTTCTTAAAAAAAAATTGGCTGCCTTAAAACAAACAGTTTGCAATCATTCTAAGAACAGTCAGTAAAAGATTTTCTACAAGCTTTTGTCAAAATCTGGCCTCAAGACACCATCAGTTTTGATTTGAAAGTCATCAGGGAAAGATTAGATTTGAAAAATTATTTTGTTAAATATCGACATAAAATCAATTCTTATCTAAGCGCTTGTGTTATTCACCGAATTTGACTGTTAGCTTAAACACATTGTGAACATGGACGATTGAACGATTACGATTACTTGAATAATTATCATATATGTAAAAAATCTGCATTTCACTTCAAGCCCTCGTCTACACTTGAGCTTACGTTTTTCTGTTACGGGCTGTGTCTTCGCTTTTAAAGAAGTTTACAGTTTGCGAAAATGAGTGCACTCTCTACTTTAGTAAGAAAGAGTATAAACGTTATGGACTCTATGAATCTTTTTCATCCAGCCTAACTAATGGAATTCCTACCAGCTATGGTCCTTGGCAAAGACAAACACAGAAACTTTGTTCAGAAAGGATCACGTGCCAGAGCATCCCGAAGCAGAATAGATGTTCTGTACATTTCCAAATAAGAATTCCGTTCAGCTAGATTAGAAATATTTCCAAATAAATTGCGATTTTTTCAAAATTGGGCGCAAATACCCAGAAAACCTTTATTTATTTCTGCGCACTGCAAAAGTTCTGGATCAAAATTTGCAAATTGCTACGCTGGAAATGATTTTACCACAAATTCGGTTTATCATAGGATGGAGTTATATTTTGGTTACACCTCGCTTTTTTGAGGTGATTCCTTCGAAAGTGATGGAAACCAAGCAAACCATTGTCAATCTGATCACGGTACTGTGTTTTGCTCTTACCACCAAATTCTGTGGTTATCAATATTTGTTTTTATCTGGCGTAACTTGTTAGGAAGCCAATAGTCGGAGCGATAGCAATGGATAGACAAACATGGCACTGAAGCTTGCAAGTGTCCAGCCTTTGAGCTTCTCTGAAAAAAGAAACCTTCACAATACATCTATTTATTACTGAAGGTCACGAGCAGCATTTCCACTGCCGCATGACTTGATTTCAATCTAACTGCATAATTTTTTTTTTCGAATAGCAGAACTTTTTTCTGAGAGATTAGCATATTTCGAAAGTTTTGGAAAAAACTTGGTGTAAATAAACTCTTATAGATGGCTTGAAGAAGGGTATGCTGATAAAGAACAAAATTTTCATTTCAGACCACATTTGCTTGATAATAACTCGTTCTCAAATCAGCGCCTCAAAAATTGGTAGGAAATATGTGTTATAAACTAATTCAATAATTGCCTACTTTTTATCATAAGCCAATAGCAACTCGTCTGCCACTTTCCTTATCGGTCACCAGTAATGGTAAGGTGAAATCGATTCAAATTTCGTTTCTGAATTATAATAACGCATATTCGTCTCGCCTGCTTTGTTTAAACGAATGTTCACTTTGCTGAGACCTATAGCTTTTGAGCGTTTGATCTATTGATATACTAGTCCCGTGGCTTGAACCGTTGATCTCCATTGAATAAAAAATGGGCATTTAAGCCTATTTTGCATATGGATAACTATAGACCCAAACACTTTTTTCTTTGTTTGATTTCTAAGAAAGAAGTTTTTTCTCTTTGTTTCTCGTCAAGCTATATCTTGAACCAGAATCTTTGCCATAAACTAAAACAATTTCTCATTTTGCATATAGCTTTGGTCAACTCAACAAAAGTTCCATCAAAAAAGACCAATTTTATCGTAGTTACAACTTATCAAAGAAATTTTTTACAAATTTTGATTTTTATTGACAAGAACGCTTACTTGGTCTAGTCAAGAGCACGGCTTGACAATGTTATAGAGTACAGAATTTAGAAAAATCAAAAATGAAGCGGAAACTTTGACTGCAGATCCAGGTCTTGTCGAGGCGCTAGTCCGCGTTACTCTAGCCAGCGGATAAATTCACTAGACAATACCTCTATTCATGTAAAAATTTCAAATTGCCAAAGGAGTAAACATTCTCACGCAAGCAGAATCGCAATTATGTGTGTTTGAGCGAGTTCAAGGTTCGTGGCATTCTTCCAGGCTGATGTCCCATTTTCCCAGTCTTCTAAAACGTACCTTTCCTCTTCGTGAATAACAGTCTGTGCAAAAATTTTGTACCATCTTACATAGATTGTTTTGCTTTCTCGAAAGATACCTATAGCCAGTGCCGGTCCCAGAATTTCCGTTCATTCCGAAAATTTTTTGGGATGCTTCTTACATTAGAACTTTTGCGGGCTTATACCAAAATCTTAGAAAAAAATTGGCGTCGCACCTCCCCTCCCTCCCCCCCCCCCCAAATAATTTTTGTAGGTGATTTGATTTTTTGAAAAAATTTGAGAATTAATTCAAATATTTCCTAGTATAAACAAGTCAGGTACACATTTTTCAAAATCGATTTTCGAAAATTCCGCGCCCCATTCTCCGGAGAAGGGGGAGGGGGGGAGGAGCTATAGTCAGACTGCTCCTACCTATTTGATGAGGCGTGAGTTATGATTTACTGCAAAGAAATCGAATTTGCCAAAAATATTCTAAAATTATTATTATATCCTAAAAGCATTCACGTAATTTCTAGTTGTAAAGAAAGTTCCCGGGCACTTTTGAAGATTTCGTTTTCTGACCCATTTTTTGGCACTTGCTCGTAGTTAAGCGACAACTTTTTTATACTGAAGTAGAAGAAAGTCTAAGCTTTTTGAAACCGCTTTTGGTTCTTATCGATGTCGAAGCGTATTTGATCTGCACATTGAAAGAGGAAATGTTTCCAATCATGAAAATTTTCCCTTCTTGCGGCCATTTTTCTGTGCAGTTCAAAAATTCGTCTAAAATAAGGATACTTTGAATGAGTAGCCTTTCAACTAACCCACAACTGCAGTAAAGTTTTGCGATTTGCGTTGAGAAATTATAAACTGACGAACTGCTCCTGACTGCAACTGGTTTTGCACCTAACCTCGCTTCTGCGGGAATCGCCACGCCTGGGTGATGGGTTCAAAAGATGTGGAAGGCTTTATCCCAACAATACTTGCAGTAACCAAAGACTTGGTCCGTTCTTTGCAGAAAGAGAAGGCTTCAAAGTCACTTACTCGAAAAAATGGTGCATTTTCTGGAGCAAAAAATGATCGATTTCTCTATTATTTGGAACAATTTTTTGCACGTGGTCCCTTAACGATATGAATGGTCATTATAGCAGCTCTAGCAGATCTCTATATAACCTACAGCATCTGGGCACTCCAGCTCCCATCATGCCTGAGATAATCCTGAACAACAGGCCATTTTTCGCGTTAACCTTTTTCTTTTTTGCGCATTCTGGTGAATCGCAATAAGGTGCTGAAAAGCCAGCAAGGCAAATATATTTTGAGGGCAAAATTGTCTTTGCTATGAAGTTTGTAGCTTGAGAAAAGAATCAATCTGCTTGAAGCTACAGCAATTTAAAAAATTTCGCAAGTGCACAGGAGCTTTCTTTACAACCTAATACATCAAAATACAATTTAAGATGTTTTAATCAGCATAAATACTATCAGTTGCCATCGGACGATTCCTCTCTAGTCATAATTTCTTTTTCATCGACTATTTCTCATACAGTCGTCAAATTTTCAACGCTTATCACTTATCAATTTTGAAGGCAGTGTCTCACCAAAATTTAGTTGCCGAGTTTTTTGCATTTTGCAAGCCTGTTGGACCCTGTCTAGCACTGTATGGGTCTAAAATCGCACGAAGTTCCCAAAAACCCCGTTTTCTGGAGGCCCCGCTGGAGCAAAGTGGACGAGTTGTACTTTCCAACTTCAGCCTTAGCCACAGTGGCAGCAACACAGAGGAGGTGGATGCCAAGTGGAGGGACATGTTCAAATCCGTAAGGGGGGAGACCAAAGGAATCGTCCGCGCGTACCAAGTCGCTCTCCGCGTACCACTTTGGGCGAATTTTTCTCAGTGTGGAGGGGGTCAAATTGAGTGGGACTTGTTGCAGTGGCCTATTTAGAGGTTCCTATAATAGAATATGTGAAAATCCACGCGACCTCAACTTTGGTGAGACACTGCCTTTAATGATTCAGGTCATCTAGACGCCGGTGACCTTGTCATGGGTAGTAACGACAAGATGTTTTTACTAATGAAAAGCATTTGATAAAAACCAAATAGAAACACAAGAAAATCAATGCTTTTTTTTATGGTTTTTATACTATCCGGTTTCGTGGCATACAACTATACCGTGCGGCTTTCTTGATGCCAGTTGTCCGTAGATACCGAAGCTTCAAAATTAGCAAAATCCAGAATCAAAGATAAGGTCTAAGCTACAAAAAGGTAGAGTATAAAGATTGAAAAATCAAATATAAAAAAGTGCGAATCACGCAAACATGTACGTATACGACAAAATAAATGACAAGTGTAATGTTTTTAGATAAGGGGGCTTAAAATCGGATGCAAGAGCGCCGAGGCTATCTTGTGCTCAAACGTTACGCATCTCCGATGGCAATCACTTTCACGTAATTTCCAAGTGTTTAACTTTGCTCAAATTTCTCATAATCATGTGTAGATGAAAATGCTGATGAAAATGATGTGTTCTTTACCAGACAGCACAAGCCCAAACTACAGATGAAGATAAGTGGATTAAGCAGGTTGTGTTTCTCTAGGGTAAGTTGTCGTTTTTACTATTGTTTGACTCCCAACGCGATGATGAAGTTTCAGCTATTCGTTGCTGTACTTTTTCGCAGTCTTGGCATCGACTTCACAAATTTGCTAACGCTTCCTGTTGTGGGAGCACGCTCAAAAAAATTTCCTTGCGAATATAGGTCTTTTACGATATGCATAGGCCAAAATAGGTTCAGAAAACTATAATGCAAACGAATACTTAAAAATGGCATTGTAATATGATAGTGAGGCTATAAAATGTATGTTTTCAAGACAGAAATGAATGTAATTCTCCAAATGTATTCTATAATAGTCATGAAACCCTCTATTACGAATATGAAGAGGAGAGATAGGAGGAGCAAATAGACCCAGAACGTAATAAATATGTCAGAAATGAAACATCATCAAAAAACCAGGCGAAAGACAACGACGTCTATCGTCACATTGTCAAAAAGGAAGTTTCTGAAAAGAAAAGTTGCAACTCGATCATGCGTTGTTAACAAGTATTGGACGACACAACAAGAGTCAGCCGAGAAGAGGGACCTGAATAACCGAGAAGAAGCAACTACGAACTAAAGAGAACAGGCCAAACTCTCAGCATGTCGCAGATGAAAACCCTTGGCAAGAAAGAAGATGTAAAGCAGTCAACCCGATTTTTAACCATCGTCTGAAAAGAAAAAGAAGGAGAAGAAAAGGGGCGGAGTGAATTAAAAGAAACACATGTTTTGTAAACGATGTTCTACATCTGGGCCGGTAGTAATTTCCTCGACTTGGCGGCAGGTCTCGTCGGCAGATCGCTGGCACCTTTCCGTGAGGTGGCCAGAAACTAAAACCCTAAATTTAGGCCGTCCCAGGCCTTTTTCCAAAAGATTTTCTCGATGAAGATGCCACCTCGACCCTATAGAAAGCTCCATCGAAATTTGCGGTTCCAGAAATCCTCCTGAAGGAAAATATCTGGAAGCGCAGGAGGAGCTGCCGGCAATTTCGCGAGGTCGGTTGCCGGCAACCTGCCGGCAGCTCGTCAAAATCCGAGAAATGGCGGCTGGTCAGAGAGCACGAGAAATAGCGTGCTCTTTTAAGAGAGGAAGCTGCCGGCATCTCGACGTGCCCTACCACGTCGAGGTGCTGGCATCTTTGCCAACGGCGTCTGCGAGTTTGCGAACTGCGGCGATATCACACAATTTACGTCGGGCGAAAAAATCAAAAATTCTACTTTTCATCAAAAAACTATCACTTTTATCATTATATGAGCTTATCTTTTTTAAAACAACGATTTTCTTACAGAGAAAAAATCCAGTAATGCTTAGAATCATAAAGAGCACCGTCTTTTTTGGCAATCCCTTACAAATCTCGTTTGCACCAATTTCGCCCCTCTCTCGCTCATATCAATCAGCTGTTCTTTCAGGTCAAAGTCTCTCACGCAATGTATCGATCCCTCTTACAGGCAGCCATTTACCAGTACGTTCCTCCTATTGCTTGTGCAAAGAGCAATTGCTGACCGAATGGTCGAATGCTTAACGTGGTGGCACTTCAAGTTAGCGCACATAGGTTCGACCGCGGGCGAGGTAGCAATTTTGCGGCTGTCTGCGTCATCAAAATTTAATGTGCGAAATGATTGCGAGCTAAGGTTACAAAAGATTATCAAAACCTACAAGCACTCCGCGAGCTGCCGTCGGAGATGGCAACTTCACCGCGATGTCTGCCTACTTGCCGGCATCTTTGATGCCATAAGGTAGGGCAGATTACTACCGGCCCTGAAAGTAATCAGACTCGTCAGTACCCAATATTCTTAAAGACCGCTTTTCAAAAGTTTCTTCCTGAACATTTTTGATATAACAGAAGAAATGACAGAATCAGGTAATTTCTGCATCCAACATGCAGTACGGACAAAAAAGGAGTCATAAAAAGGCCTGGTTAAATTTGTTGACGCTATTGAATAAGCACAGTAAAAGTCAAACCCACCTGTACGACCGTAAAAAGGCTTCCAAACCCAGAATTCACTAGGCAAACGCTTAGTCTCAAGACGTAATATTTGAAAAGCAAGTACTAAATTGGCAACAATTCTTCGTTAAAGCAGGCTATGGAGCTTGACGCGGTCCAATCTACTTCTGTAGGACGGGAGGGCAGTTGGGTAATCGCCGTTAGGAGTATGTCTATAGAAAAGGATACGAGTAAAAGTCATCTGAACTTTTTCCAAGGCCAAAATATCGTTTTTTATATATGGACTCCAGACTTGGCTAGCATATTCTAACTGCGGGAGGACATAAGCCATATACATTCTGATGTAAACTTTCTCATCAACATGTTTTAAGTTACGTAGCAAAAGGAAGAGTCTGTGCATGGCTGCACGTGCTAATTTTTCGATATGGGATCCAGATCGAAGCTCTTGGTCAACTAGCACACCAAGATCTCTTATTATTTCAGGTCTAGAAAGAGAAGTATCAGAATGCTCATATTTCTCGAAGGTGCATTCATTCACCTTAAGATTGTCAGGCAGGCACTTTTCGTTAGTTTAACCTCAAAGCTATTAAGAGACGTCCAAGTCAGAATATTTGGCAGACAGACTCTCAGGGCTTGTGTTACTTCCCCTCTATTAGAATCAGCATATGATGCGAACACTATGTCATCTGCATAGTCCATAACCTTAACTCTGCCGCCAGTAGTCAGGAGGGGAGGTCACTGGTGTAAATATTGACAAGTAAAGGGGACAATACACCAGCATGTGGCACTCCACGGGTTGCTGAGTAGAAGGAAGAGTCGGCACAATTACAACGGACAGAATAAGTCCTATTAGACAGATAAGATAAAAGCCATTTCAATACAGCTCTACGAATTCCTACTTTGAAAAGCTTTTTAATCAATTTGGAAATGTCAGCTCTGTCAAAGGCATTATACAGATCAAAATAAAGAACATCGGTAAATCGATCTTGAAATAAAGCTTTTTCCTAGTAACGTTCACAGACCACTAATTGAAGGGTAGTCGAATAAACTTCAATGAAACCGGACTGCACAGCTAGGATGAGATGGTTTTGTGCACAAAATGCCAACAATTTTCTTCTGACAATGTTCTCAGCAACTTTACAAACAACAGAGTTAACGGATATTTGCCGAAATTCGGTAACTTTACATGGACTCTGAACCTTGAGTATGGGTACGAATTTTCCTTGCTTCCATATATTTGGAAGCTCACTGATTGGCGCATTTTTTAAACACAGCTTGAGGGATGCCGTCAGTGGTCAAAAATGTGGACAATTTGAGCTTTCTCAAATTGCCCAGTATCTCCCAAAGAAACACCTGCGGAATTTGAAAAAGGCAGGAATGGCATGGTTCAATGTCGGGTTGAGAATCATTGATGTTAATGAAATTCGATAACCCTCGGAAAACCGATGCAAAGTAGCGCCCTAGATGCTCAGCCTTCTCTTGATCTGTCTTGATCAAGCTTCCTTGTCATCCCGCAATATCTGCACCGTACTTTGTTTTTTTAAGAAAAGAACGAGCATATCTGAACAATGAGCAGTATTCATCGTTGTTAGCCTCCTCTGTTTGTAAGCAATAAATCTGGCTAAGTGCTGGATAACTTATTGGTAGTGTTCCTGTATATTGCAGAATCTAAGGGATTTCGAGAAGTACGGAATAAACGTTTTCTTTGTTCGATCAAGTTCTTGATGTGCAAAGGATAATCGCAAGACTTACTCATTCTCTTTTTGTACGGGACAAATCGCGAAAGCAGGTCATGCATTAATTCAACAAATCGTTGATAGGCATCTTTGATCGAAGTGACATCAAGTAACGTCCATCAATCAACAGCGTCCAAAGCGGAAGAGATGGCCAAGTAATCACGGCTTATGTAGTCAAAATAGGAATCCACACAGGAAGTATCGATGGGTATTGAAAAATCAAAAAGAACACTGCCATGATCAGATCCACAAAGAGGAGGTTTAACAATCACATTATGAACAATAGGATTAGATGACAAGACATGATTCAACACATTGTTCATTCTAGTCGGATAAACATGTTGAACAAGCGAAAGTTCATCAAACAAAGTCATGAATCTTCTAGATGTAGGACATAAGGGGGTCTTATTTGACCAATCAATTGCAAGGTTAACATCACCTATTCGACATTGGAATGATTACTACAAAAGTTTTGTAAAAAATCAACAAGGTATTGCTCATTGTCGAATGTCAAGGATGGAGGACGATAAACAAGAATGATAAAACAGCTAGATTGCGACTCAACATTCGTGATTTTCCATGACAAAATATCAGTCATTGGTACGGCAAAAGTAGGCACATCTTCACATAAAATGATATCACGAACAAAAACGTACAAACCTCCCCCACGTCGTTTTCGATCTTTACGGAAAATCATGTAGGAAAGACCATGACATAATTCAGAAGATTTAATGGTTGAAGTAAGCCAAGATTCAGTGACAAAGATAATGTCAGGTTTTTTATGAATGAGAAGAAGACGAAACAAATCAATTTTGTTCAAAAGGCTACGGGACTTAAGTAAGATACAACTCATCAGACAAGTACCGTGCAAAGAAATCAGTTTTTCTGGCGTAAATTTTGCCCTCGACTTATAATAGTGATCTTGACTACCTCACCCCGATAGACCACATAGCCCTTGTAGCCCAATGCCTGGTTTTATCACGTGCCTCCCTGCGCAGTTCAAAATTCCTCTCGCGTTCATCCGCGGTCTGATAAAGACATTAGACCTAGTCTCACCGCGGATGAACGCAAGAGTAATTTTGAACTGCGCAGAGAGGCACGTGAAAAAACCAGGCATTGGGCTACAAGAGCTATGTGGTCTATCGGGGATTCCGCAAACGTTTTGCCCTCCCAAGAACAGCAAGACATTGCGATCTAGCCGGAAACATGACTTTGATCAAACGTGGTTTCTGTGTAACCTTACCCATTCTAAAAACCGCTGTTGGCTTGGCTTTTCAAGGCTATCCAAAATTTCGGATACTTTGGCCTCCACGTCGGCCTGTTTTGCCAAAGGGCGGGCATCAGAAGCAATTTAGGAATACCATGAACTACAACACTTCCAAGGCGAAAAAATTCCTCATAGATCGTATGCGAGCTAGTCAGAACGGCCCGCAGTGCAAGGATTGACCTGCTATGGCACGTTCGGGACATTTGCAAGGAAATTTGACATCTTGCTTAGATGTGCTGATAGATCAACGGATAATTTAGATTCAGAACTTGAATCAGTATTAAAAGATTTATTAGGCAACAAACCAATACTTACAGGAGAAAGAGAAGAGCCGGATTTATTGGCCTTAGAGCGAGTCGATACCATTGGTAATAACGAACGCTAAGGCTTTGGCCATACGTTGCTCGTGTTACTCGTGTTGCCGATGTTTTCAGTGTTACTCGTGTTACCGGTGTTGCCAATGTTTCCAGTGTTACTCGTGTTACTCGTGTTTCTAGTGTTACCGCCTTTATTGCTGTTGATTTTTGAAATGATCGCCAGTACAGTTTTATATTCTCGAACGACACCTCACCAATTGGTGAGTATTTATATACTAGGGTGCGGAAAGTTTCTTACCCGAGTCATATTCTCGA